ACCATATTCCTTCGCTTTTTAATGCTCACCGCAATCGCGGCCGCTAAAACTCCTGCCAAGCCAATGAGTGAAGTTCAATTTTAACAGTGGTTTGTTAAGGTCTTATGGTGATTTTTATTTAATATACCTTTCCTAGCTCTAGGTAGTCAGAAGACAAGGAACTCAAAATAAAAATAATGATAATAACTAATATAACCGACACTTATGTACGCGATGAGATCGGAAGTAGGCTATAAGATGCATGGATGCATTATCAGTCACATGGACACGAGAACAAACCACACAACCAATCGTAAAAATCAAAAAGTAGTTTTATATATTACTAAAAAATAAAAAGAATGCTTTTTTTCAGCTCGAAAGATTGTTAATGAAATACTTCTTGGTAGGCATGAAACCAATGGACTAATAAAAAAGCTCAGTGATGAAAATATGGACGATGAGACAATACGAAAAATTGCTGCGGATTTTGTTATTGCTGCTGGAGACACGGTTTGACAATTACTAGTATATAATGCATATGTTTTTGATTAGTAGTATTTTATATTCATTTATTATTACTATTATAGACCGCATACACTACATTGTGGACCCTTTTAATGCTGTTTGAAAATGGTGAAGTTTTGAAAGAACTAAGAAGAAAAGATGGTTTATATGTGAAATATGTAATAAAGGAATCGATGCGATTGTATCCAGTTGCTCCATTTTTAACCAGAATTTTACCAAAAGATTGTTTTTTAGGACCTTATAAATTAAAACAAGGTGTAAGTAATGACAAAATTTATTAATTGTGTGAAGTATTAACCATCAAACCAACAAAAGTTTAAAAATATTCACTTCATTTTATTTTCTTAGTTTTATATTTTTATATTACAAGCAAACAACAAACGATTTACCAGTTCACCTGATGATCCTAATGGTAGTTTGTACCTACTACAGCTGATAGTATCGATAACTTCATCCAACACAACATATTTTTATTTCCTAATACACAACACAACACACAAACGTGTCACGCCTGTGACCCATAGGGGTAGGCAGAGACTACGGACTTCCATTTGGCGCGATCCTGACACACCTCTCTCGCCTCCTTTATTTCCATATATCTACGCATACACACTCATCTCTTAAGGGTACTCCTAATCTGGCCCATTTTCAATGTATCGCCGATTTGGTCGATAAACCTTCGTAGAGGGATGGGGAAACTACGGCCCACGGGCCATCTGCGGCCCGCGATGCGTTGATATCCGGCCCGCGACCATCAAACAAAAATCAAGTGGAGTTTTCATATTGTTAGAAATTTTATTCTCACTGACAGTGCGCGGCTCGCATAAAACAATCACCGTGATTGGTTTATAGTTAACGTGATTGAATCACGTATTATTTCGCGAGCGCGGGCAGTATGAGCGAAAACTGAAAATGAAACTATCGACTGCGCGCACGGTCCGACCGTCGGTCACCCCTCCGCATGCCCACGCCTGCTAGTGTCCAGTGTCCACGCCGACGTCCCGCCGCCGTCGCACCGCCGCACTAGTTAGGAGTAATAGTGTTCTGTGCGCACTACAGTCGGAATTTTGTCTTATTTCAAATCGCATGTTCGTACGCTATATATTCTTACTTACGAAACTACTTGAGCCGGCGAACAGACGGTTGTTATGTCATACGATACTATTTACTTTATATTATAAGTCCTGTACACTTTATATTGTTTATTTAATAAATTACTTTCTTAGAAGCCAAACTAATATTATGTCATAGGATACTATTTACTTTATGTTATAAGACCTGTATAGTTTATATTGTTTATTTACTTAAAAGCTAAATTACTTTCTTAGAAGCCAAACGAATGTTATGTCATAGGATACTATTTACTTTATGTAATAAGACCTGTATACTTTATAAATCATATTGTTTACTTCCTTAGAAGCCATACTAATTCGATTGTAATATTATATGCTAATGTTTATAGTTTACCATAAGCATAACACCAAGAACAATGTTCTTCCCTTATGTTTACCCCCACCTCCTAGCTTCCTACACTATTTAAACCAAATCTTTCGTTCATTTAACTTTCCCCTCCCGCTATCGCGCCCGCAGGCCGAGGAACTCCCTCTCGGATCCGCCAAACAAACTTTCAAACGACTTGAACTGCCTCCTGGCGGCTCAGTCAAATTCATAATTAATTTTCATAATTAGGGAGTGCCTTCGTAGGCACTCCCTCAGCGGCTTATAGCCGCCTGCGCCCTCTTTTCCCAAAAGAGGGTTGCTTTCGATACGGCATAAGAAGCTTTAAACAGCTGGTTGCCAGTCCTCAAAGGCGGTTTTTAGGGGGTATCACTTAGGCTCCCCGGTTAGGCGTGAGTCCCCCATAGCTACGATGGATAGAACACGGTGTCATTTTTAAATGCACAAGGTAAGATGTTACTACTTACCTACTTTGTATGTTAATTTTGTAAACAGTTTGTTCAGATAATAATAAACGAGTAGCGTAAATTTCATCCCTTTTTGTGTTTTAAAATGATTTGATTGTAAAATACGTTTGGGCGATGTATTCATGTTGGCTTTGTTTTTTTGTTACAGCAGTAAAATGACGACCAAAAACGCAAAGTCGATTCTGCGTGTCAAGTATTTAAAGAAGAATGGTCATGGAAATATTCGAAAAAACATGCAAATGCGAAATATTCATCTATGACAGAGGCAGAGAGAAAGTCTTTTGTTGAAAGGCAAAAAGAGAAGTTACGTGGACAGCAGAACATACATACATAAACACTCACGCCTGTTACCCAGAGGGGTAGGCAGAGACTATGGACTTCCATTTGGCACGATCCTGACACACCTCTCTCGCTTCCTCTACATCCATATGCCTACGCATACACGCTAGTCGGTTAAAGGTTCACGAAGCAATCTGATACTCAGAAGGCTGCAACACTGGCAAGTTATGTTGTAGCTTACAAAATTGCTGGAAGTAACAGAACGTTATCGGATGGTGAATTTGTAAAATATTGCATGGTGGCTGTAAGCAACATTATTTGTCCAGAAAAAAGTAAAGAGTTTCAATCTTTATCTTTATCACGGAGAACGATAACACATCGAATTGACGCCATCGCTGAACAATTATCGTCACACCTGGAAAAGAATTGTAACAAATTTGAATACTTTTCTCTAACCATAGACGAGAGCACTAACGTGACTGATACTGCCCAATTGCTGATTTTTATTAGAGGAATTGATTCAGAGTTCAACATAACCGAAGAATTAGCATGCTTACAATCCTTGAAAGGAAAAACCACTGGAAAAATTATTTACGATTCTTGTCTTGAGGGTATTTCAAAGTTTAACTTGCCTATGGACAAATTATGTAACATAACCACGGATGGAGCACCCAATATGGTGAGCAGCAATTTGGGGTTTATAAGTATATTTTGCACAGAAAACCCTAATAATAATGTATTATTTCTGCACTGTTTAATTCATCAGGATGTGTTTTGTAAAGCTTTTATTAACATAGAACCCGTTTTGAGTGTGGTTGCTAAACTTATCAACACAATACATTCACGAGGTTTGATACATCTACAATTCCAAGAATTTCTAAAATCCACCGAAAGCGAGTGCTCTGATCTCCTCTACCATACTAAAGTGAGATGGTTAAGCTGTGATAATGCATTTGAGAGAGTGTGGAACTTAAGAAAGGAGATTCAAAATTTTCTAACGGTGCAAGGCAAATGGGACGACTTTAAGATCATGTCTGACGAAAATTGGCTTCCTGATTTCGCATTTCTCACAGATTTGCTGTCACATCTAAATAAATTAAATACGAAGCTTCAGGGCAAGAATCAATTCTTAGATGAGCTTTGGGGACATTTAAAAGCCTTCAAATTGCATCTTAAATTGTTTTCCAGTTGTGTAGAGAAAAATTAACTTACTCATTTTCCCAAACTGAGCAGTATATCACCTGTCTCAGACAACAGCCTATGTAAGTTCGCTCAACAACTGAAGAAACTGCACGAGGAATTTGATAACAGATTTCAAGATTTTAAGGGAATCGAACCATCACTAAATAATTTTTCAATACCTTTTAATGTTAAGGTCGATGAAACACCCGCTAACCTGCAACTTGAACTAATTTACATGCAATGCAATACCCATTTGAAGCAACTGTTTCTTAACACCAGCAAATTGGAATTTTATAAATTCATATCTAGGACACAATACCCAAATATAGTTGCCCACGCCCAAAAATTAATGGCTATGTTTGGTACAAGCTATTTGTGCGAGCAAACGTTTTCAATAATGAAACTAAGAAAAAAATGTCCTCGTAATAGGCTTTCGGATGACCACCTTTTTTCACTGCTAAAAATTTCAGCATCAGAAATGGAGCCAGATTAAGATGAAATCATGCAGAAACAAAAACAGTTCCACATGTCACATGTCCCCACAAAGACCAGCGCTCCGCATCTTTCTACTTCGCAGCTAACTTAAAAGTTTAATTTAATTGCAATTTGCGGATTATTTTTATTTCCAATGGTAATTTTGTAATATTGCACATTAAATTAGTTCCTTTCAACATCTTCTTTTACTCTCTTATTTATACGTCTAAAGTCTGGCTTTTTTCTTTCAATCTCCTCATTCATACCACCAGAATCACCAGCTTTGGTTGCTAGTAAATCTAGCCATGCTCTCTTCTTTGCTTCAACTTCCATCCGTACCTCACCATCCCACCACAACGTATTACTTTTCCTTTTATTTGTTCTCTTACTTACACAACATACTTCGGTGGCTGCATCCACCAAACTTTCTTAACATTATTCCATACAGTCTTCAAGTCTATATCATTTATACATAATTCATTCAAACCACTTATATTTTCCCTCAGTCTACATTTATACTTCTCTTTTACACCTTTATCTTGTAACCTCTCTATTCTTATATGCTGTAATGCAGTAGTAGACACAGATGCCCGATGCTGCCAACGCCTGATGAATTTGGCATAAGACCAAGTAATGATCCGTCCCTATGTGGACCCCCGGTAAACCCTTGTATCTACCACAGCGCTCCTGATTCTTTAATCCACAATTCCACAGCGCTCCTGATTCTTTAATCCACAATTATTAAATCTATCATGCTTCTATCATCCCCTCTTTCCCATGTGAATCCTCTTATGGCGAAAGAAAGTGTTCGTCACAAAAAGATTCTTTTCCACACATACGGTGAGGAGGTCTTCACCGATTTCATTTATACTTTCATCGCCAAACGTTCCTAATATCCTTTCATAACTTTCACTCTTCACCCCAACCCTTCCATTAAAATCTCCTAACATAATAATATTTTCATTTTCCTTACATTTCATCAACACCAACCTTACCATGTCCCAAAACTGCTCTCGGATTTAAGTGGGCTTAGACATATCTGGGGCGTACACCCCTAGCACAAACAACTTCTTTAAGCCCATTTTCATTCGTATCCACACATTCATACTCTTTCACACATTGACCACATGCTGGCACACATGCCCGCTCGGTCTCGTTTATACCCGACCAGTAAGCGGTATATAATATGCCATGTGCAGTGACATCTCTCCCCTTTCGTTTTATCTCATTTACATATAACACATCTATTCCTCTATCATTCATCATTTCGCATACTTCATCCATCTTATCATTCATTGCTCCACATATATTCAGCGTAGCCAGACGGGCCTCCGCAATCCACTTTTCGCCCCTCCGGGAGACAGGACGTGACTGGTGGCGAACGTCGTCGCCGGTTTTTCTCCCGGTGATTCTTCGCACCCCTGCCCCATTCAAAGGGCGCCGGGAACTCGGGGCCATTTCTTATATTTGTAAGCTCATGGTGCGAACTAAGAGGTGGTAGATTTTACGCCGCTACCATACGGCGAGGAGCCGAGTCTATCCTTTCTGCTTTGTCGCTCGTTTAGCACCACCCGGGGGACACGTGTAGGCTGGGCCTCGGGTTAGATAGTCAAAGCCTACGGACGCGAGCGACTCATCCCCCCGTATTATATTTCCTAATAGTATTTATAAAAGCAATCCTATAGCAAAATGTATTCATAAAGTTTGCTCGCTCTGGTGTAAACAAAAAAATCGATCTTGATTAAATGTTTAGTACCTGGGCATAGAGCAAAACGGGCCACCGGTGTGGCGGGTCGGAGGGGAGTAGTCATACGCAGGCGTTCCCCTCTGTCTAAGTATAAGCACAGAATAAATAATAGTACAAGAACAGAAGGATCACTCTCTGATGGCAAACTTGCGAGTTTAAACCTAGTTACAACGTCACTAATGTTCATAATTCATTGCAGGCCTCGGAAGTGACCTTTGTGAAACTAGCCTACGTCGAAACAAAAATTAATACAGCCTGCGTATTAAATCAAAATGCACCTTACGTCCGCGTCGAGTGTCTGTATCACTTAGCCCGTTACGTGCCTTTGTTAAGGCCGCCCCTATTGTAGGGTTAGGTGTTGTGAGAAAACAAATTGAATCCTTTGATATTAGTTTGTAGAGTAGAATACACCGAGGTGTTATGCTATGTATTAGTATTTTTTTTATTTTGTTAAAAAAAAACACTAGGATTTTCTCCTGTATCGTGAAGGCAGTTTACAAACATAAATTGCACAAGGACAAACATCTAGACACGGAACAATTATTTGTAAGCCATACAAATACTTGTTCCGTGCGGGATTTGAACCCGCGGCTCCAGCGTTGCAACTCATTGCTATGCCACTGCGCCACGGAGCTGTCACTTGTCTGTTTCACATTTTTTGCTATTTACAAACATAAAGCTAAAGCGCGGAGTGAGACAGGCCTGGTATAAGACCACGCGGTCCTTTGCGTACAAAAAACTAGTTATAGCTGCACTGCTCACTAGACTAAATCTAGTTGTACGGCTGAATCGACATCCTACAAAAATACCGAAATTCAGTTTATTGCTGCAAAAAGATATCTGCCACAGCAAATTTACAAAAAAATGGTGTTTCATATTTAAGTATTTTTAATCACATTATTGCTATTTACACTTTTTAAACTTAAAAATTACAATAATAACGGTTGTATTATTTCGAATTTGTTTACCAACACAGGCCGCTCGCTCTTATATAATATATAATAGATATATACCTGGGTGATATAAGTACCTACAAGCGCGCGAAACCTTAAGATACATACGCAGTCAGGGTTAATGCGGTTTAGGTTAAGTAGATTAGACGAGCGACGTTCAAGTGAATTTCAAAGCTTTTACATTGTTTACGTAAATAGATCTTTCGTATACACTTGTATAAATATTTTTGCTTATTGTTTAGTATAATATTTAGTTATAGGATAAAATAGTTGTATAAGTTTTAGTGCCATTATTTATGTTTAAATTTATATGTTTATTATTAAAAATACATTCATTAACAATTTTGAAAACATAATAATGAAATAACCAGCAAAGAATTTACTAAAATTATTAACGAATATTAATTTTATCACTCCGCGTCCCAGTACTTACATAACTATTTACTTAAAATTACACATCATATTTATAGCTTTTTCTACTCTAAAATTTAATAACCGTTATTTTAGAGAAGGTAAAAAAAATTGTCATTATAATATAAGTAAAACAGCTGTAAATTAAATAAATAATCAAAAGATACTATATACGTACTGTATTTTTTAGTCTTTGTTGAAATCCCTGGGTAACCACGAAATATCGACTGTGACGTAGGAAAGGTAAAAGATGCAAAGCCATAAGGACACTCACGCGCAGCCATAAAGTTTAATTTAGCTTGCGTGCGTGATTTATGTAATTACGTAGACTATTAAAACGTTGACAAGTAGTCAACATCAAAGAAGTGCATTTTCTGTAAATATTTTTGTGAATTTTGGTTTAATTTGACCGACGACAGGTTGCTACTCCTTTTTTAGAGTAAAATAATGATTTAAAGTGGATTTAAATAATTATTTTTGTGATTTTATGTATTACATATTTGCACATGTGAACTATTAGTGCAAACGATGTAATAAGTGCTTGGATGGTGAGTTAACTGTCCGCTGGGTTAAGCATTCGTCAAAATCCTCTAAAACCGTCGCAATGTCACACATCAACATATTTTGAAGATTTTTTTTGTGAATAAAATACAAATTAGACTAGGCTGTACGATATAAGACCTTTGCCTGCCTTAATTGGCGAATCTCGTAACAGCAAAACAGTTATTTTATTTAGGGTTATTATTTTATCAAACCCAAATAATAAAATCTAAAACTTTATAATGAATTATTATAATGTCGCCTCCAAACTACGCATCCAGTCAAAAGCTGTCAATTATCGAACTTTAAGTATAGTGTGTAACGGGTTTCCTCAAAAAAGACGTGAAAATAATATGTTTCACGGCAAACTAATACCAGCAAACTTATCTGTAAAAAGAGATATATCTTTAGAATCAATTGTACAGTGGCAATCTGAAACATATGCTAGCATATCGAACAGTTACCTTGTAAAATTAATGCAAGATGGGTTACTATATTTTCACGACACATCAGGTTTAACATGGTGGGCTACTATAGTAACATCTACGATACTTATAAGAGCAATAATGACATTGCCACTGACTATATACCAAAACTATATTTTGGCTAAAGTGGAGAATATTAGTTTAGAATTAAAAGACTTGGCAGAAGAGCTGAAAAGGGAAACGGCAGTTGCCAAAAAGTCATACAATTTATCAAATAAACAAGCAGTCATTTTATATAAAAGATCTCTAAAAAAACAATGGCAAAAGCTCATAGTCAGAGATAACTGTCATCCTTTCAAAGCTAGTTTAGTAATTTGGTTTCAAATTCCTGTCTGGGTGTGCATGTCATTTGCATTACGAAATCTTGTATATATGCAATCAGATGATGCTGTAGCTTTAATAACGTTTATGGAACTATCAGTCGGTGGGATAGGGTGGTTTCCAAATTTAACAGAACCTGACCATTCATTTATTTTACCAGTTGTATTTGGGTTAACAAACTTATCAATTATTGAAATACAGAGGATGTCAAAACTTAGACAGCCATCTAAAATGTATAATGTATTTACTAATGTGTTCAGAATATTTTCTTTAATAATGATACCAGTGGCAGCCAGTGTCCCATCATGTATGTGTTTGTACTGGGTTACATCAAGTAGTTTTGGTCTTATACAAAACTTGTGTCTACTTTCACCATCACTGCGAAGAAAACTACAAATTCCGGAAGCTCCAAGTGAGCTTGAATATCCATATAGTCATATAAAGGATGAAATAACTCACACATTCAGAAAGATAATATCTAAGAAAAGACACTAAATGTACTTATAAGTTGATTCTTTTATATTTGTACCATTCACTGTCAACATGTTTGTAACACTTTATATTTTATTCCAGACACCAATTGTAGCTTCCATATACACATCAGGTCGTGATGAGCAAAATTTTAGTAATGCTAATGTGTTCTTGCCATATCGTTGGGACAAAAATGACCCAAGAAAAGAAAACTTATCTAACCATGTCCCTTCAGCATCTTTGCCTTTTGCTCTTGGAGCTAGATCGTGTATAGGCAAAAAAATTGCTATGATACAACTTATGGAAGTAATACAACAGGTATAGTTATATTAAAATTAATTAAATCTTGTTCATTTAATTAAGAAAATTTGTAATAGTTTTCTCAATTTTACCAAATTTTTTTAAGTCACTTTCTTGTTTGTCTGTTGTTTCGGGTGGAATTTAGTAAATGATTCTATATTAACGTCCTGATGAGCAGGAAACTTAAAATTTTGAATATAGCTCAAATTCAGATGACAATGCAAGAATATGATAAAAGATGTGGTAAAAAAATTTCACTTGTTTTAATTCTTATAACAAGAAAATGAAGGAGCAAAATTCCTGTAATTCAGACGTCATTGATTATTACTCAACTAAATGTGTTAATTATATTAATTTTAATTAAAGTTTCTTTTGGTAATAATTTTTAAGCTTATATAAGTAGAATCAGTAGAATCTCTATTACTCGAATTTCAAGAGAAATGCTAAAAAAATCGAGAGATGTGGAGGATCATGCACCTTCCCTGTTGGACCTTCTGCTGACTTTTCATCCGGACAGATTTCAGGTTTCCGTCGATGCCTCTCTTGATTCCTCGGACCATTGTCTTGTCTGGAGTTTGGTGCCACTCATACTAACATCGCAGTTACATTCTGTAGGCTGCTGCCGTGTTTGACACTATAGGTCGGCCGATTGAGATAGGATGCGGTCTTTTTTTTGCATCCTACCCTTGGGGTTTGGTGTTCATCAGAGGCAGATCCCAGCCTAGTTTGGTCGCTCCTGTAGCATCACGCTATAAGCAGGAGTGCTACCGGGCCTGGGCTGACGCATCAACATCTGGGGATGTAAACACCAGTGCTCTTAAAAAGCAGTATAATTCTGCTTTCAGGTCCTTCAAAATAGTTGTTGCCAAGGCGAGGTCAGAGCACATCGGCAGAATTGGTGAGAAGCTAGTTTGCCTTCCTTGGGGAACCTGTGCATTCTGGTCTCTTCAAGGCTGTCCAAGGGAACTTTTGTCAACCATCTCTTCCATCTCTGCACAGAGAGGATGTCTCACTGGCCAATGCCGCAAAAGAGAAAGCCGATCTGTTAGGCTCCCACTTTACTTTTGATGACGGGGGGAACACACCGCCCACCATCCCGCAGTGTGTGTGCTCGATGCCGACGTGCGGTTTATACAGCGCCCGGTTTGCAAAGGACTCCTCTCCTTGGATGTCAACAAGTCGAGTGGGCACCTATTGTGCTGAAGACGTGTGCTCCACAGTTGGTACGGGTTCTAACCGGATTTTTTCCAGTACTCCTACTCCCTAGGCATAGTCCCGAACTCATGGAAGACAGATTTGGTGCACCCGATCCCTAAAAAAGGCGATTTGTCAGATCCGTCCAACTAAAGGCCTATCGCCATCACCTCATGAGCTGGTAGTTTATAATGCACTCCATTATAAACTGCCAGCTCATGAGGTACCTTGAAGATCTCCAGCTGATTAGCGACCGCCAATACGCTTCTTTCTAAGCTCCCGAGAAATTGTGGAATTGGATCACCAGTTTCCTTGCAAGCATCAAGTTTGTAGTCGACGGTGCATACTCTAATTACAAGCCTATTAAAGCTGGTGCTCCACAAGGCTGCGTGCTATGACCAACGCTGTTTCTTCTGCATATCAATGATATGTTGCAAACTGTTAACATTCTTTGCTATGCAGACGACAGTACTGGTGATGGCTTATACACCGGCCATGCCAATATTTCTTTGGAAAACATCGCCGAATACCGGGATAAACTTGTGTTTGAGTCAAGTTTTTGGTAAACAAAATCCCGAATTGGAGGAGACTAAATCTAGTCCAGTTCAATCCCCAGAAGACCCAATTGTAGCGTTTACTGCTAAAAAGAACCTCTTTGTCATATCTCATCAGTTTCAAGGCTTGCAAGACCTTGCTGCCTCAGCTAGCACTGGAATCCTCGGCGTCCACATATCGAATAGTGTGCAGTTTCGTGGTCACTTGTAAAGGAAGGCCAAATTGGCCTCTAAAAAGGTTGGAGTGCTCAGTAGACTGGGAGAGTATTTCATGCCGGGACATCGCTTGCAACTTTACAAAGCGCAAGTTCGGCCTCACATGGAGAACTGTTCAAATCTCTGGGCCGGGGCACTCCAGCTCTTTCCACTTGACCACATCCAGCGCAGAGTGGTTCGAATTGTCGACTACCGAGTTCTTTCTGATCGGCTCGAATCACTGGCGCTGCGTTTTCTATCGCATCTACCACGGGGAATGCTCTGAGGAATTGTTTGGACTAATTCCAGCCGCCAATTCTCACGAACGCACATTGCGTCAAAATTCACGATACCATCCTCACCATCTGGATGGATGCTTGGCGGTCCACCACTGTGCGTTTTACTAGGAGTTTTCTTCCTCGTACAACTTCTCTGTGGAATTGTTTACCACCGGCGATTTTTTACCGATACGACTTAGGGACCTTGAAGAAAAGAGTTTACTCTTTTCTAAAAGGCCGGCAATGCACCTGCAATACTACTGGTGTTGCGGTTGTACATGGTCGGCAGTGTTCACTTGCCATCGGGTGAGCCACATGCTCGTTTGCCCTGTCTTTTATAAAAAAAAGTCATAGAGCCGTCATTATATTTTACTAACTTCGTCTTACGGAGTCTGTTCTTTGAAATTCGAATTATAGAGTATAAATATGTACGAGCAATACTTCGCAGGGAAATATCATTTTGTTCGAGTTACATAGTCTAAATAATTCGAGATACTGAATATTTAGAATTTAGAAGGAATGGCAATAACAATTTTTTCGGCTTACTGAGGGTTGTGACTTAACAAGATGAGATAAGACCCTATGACATAATTTTACATTTATTTATTTTTTCTTGAAAAATTGAGGGTTAAATATTTTTTTTAAAGCACAGTCCTGATAGTAGAAGATGTTGCATTAGAGCCACCTACAACTATTTTTGGCATCCTTGATGACTAAGGTGGAATGTCTATTTACCAGTAAAAAGGGTTTCTGGTTCTTATCTCCTACATATGAAATACAACAGCAAAATACATATTGCTGGTATTTTGTGGCAGCAATCCCTCCTGGGCCTCAATCAGTTGAACCAACAATCCATTCCTGATGCAGTGTGGCTTTCATTATTTAATTCTTCTGTCTAGAAAAGCATATCAGGCATAGCTATAAGCCCCATTCAAGAAATGGTCATATAGACGTGAAAGATGTTGCTAGCCTCCAGTTCAGAAATTCATTTAAGCTTATTTTTTTACAGGTAAGCAATAATTTCCAGCTCAAATTTAACAATATCAAAAATATTAGACCTATTACTTCTCAGGTGTTGGTTCCAAATAAACACATTGAACTATGTCTAACTCTGAGGAATTATAACGAAAAGGAATAATTTAAATTAAGAATTTATGTATTAAATAATACAAATTAATAATTTAGTTATAAGAATAAAACAAAGTTACATAAGAAACCGTATTTCATTTAATTAGCTTCCATATTTTCGCATTATAAACAATATATTGGTACATATTATTTTTGCAAGTATGGGAACGTAAAATTCGACCTTAATAAATTATAATCAATTTTATTAAGGAAATCTTGTTAGGGTATAATAATCTTAATAAATGCAATAAATATTTATGCTTAAAGAAGTTTATAAAACGAATATCTTCGCTGAGCTTGCCAAATTGCATAATTATGTGCATTTTTTCATTTTTGTGTTCCTTAACTTGTATATTGAACACATGTTAGGATCGATCACTTAATCGAATGGGGCATGGAGTTTCAGTCTTATAAAATATAGAGGACTGCACAGGCCGTTGGAGGGAAAGATTTTCTTTGGATCGTAGGGAAAATTATGACAAGACTCAAGCAATTTAAAACGTTCTTTTAGAGAGGGAAGACTTGATATATATACAAATAAATAAAATTGAAGTGTCTGTTTATAATGTCAAAATTATAGTTTTTTACTAAATGCATATGACATTAAATACGGTACTTAAATACAATTTTTAAATTTTTATTCCGGCTAATCTTCGAAACGGCTGGACCAGGCTGGACCGATTTTGACGGGACTTTCACTGGCAGATAACTGATTTCCATAGATTAATGATAGGTCATCGCGCGCTCTGACTAGATACCGCGCTACTTGAAAGAAACAGCTCCGTGACTGCGGCAAATCAATATTCTAGTGTGTATAAGACAATTGCAAGGATGCTAGTCACTAGTGTGCGTGAAAAATTGTATATGCCAGCAGCTTAACTATTATCCGATTAACGGGAAAAATTATTTTATGTTATGGCTTAGTAGTTAAGTTCATAGTTATGAATGTAGACCAGAAATACATAAAAATGAATAATTTATTAATAGCGAATGTATGTATTTGTGTATATTATGTATAGGTTTTTCTTCTGAATAAATGGCATATAAATGATAAGGCCTCATTTTTATATTTAAATGTCTGACTAATATTCACAAATAAAAAAAAATAGTTATATATTATATGGTGTAACCAAAATTTTATTTTTATTTTATGTTGTTATAGGAATAATAGCCAATACATATTCTGTGAAAATTTCAAGTATCTACATATTACGGTTCATAAAATACAGCCTGCTGACAGACAGACGGAACGATAGTGGAAACTTAAGTCCCGTTGACACTCTTAGGGCACGGAACTCTAATAAACGGAAATAATGTTTTAATAATAAAAATAACAATTAATAAAACAACATATAAATATTAGGTCATTTGAGCAATACTACAAAAATAAACATTAAATAATATAAAATTAGGTTATATTATAAGAAGTTAAATATATTATATTATAAAATATATCTAGTAACAATAAATTCACATATAAAAATCTCAGCCACGGGGAACTTTATTTTTGTATACGCGGCAACACTGAATAGGTGAATGGCGTCTTTCATATTTTGTAACCAGCTATTTTGTAGCTTGCTACATATATATTTATCTATGTTTGTAACTTATTTATGGCTCGTATTATTTTAGGTTGATATTTGAAAATTGTATGATACTTACTGATAGTATGTGATCCCAGTGTCTTTCTTATTTCTTGTAATATTATTTTTACACAGTTTCACTACGCAAACTGGTACCGTAAAACGGGGTGAATAGGGATCGCGAGGTGAATAGAGACAAAATCGGGAATGAGATTGGGACGCAATTTTAACGAAATAAAAAACTTATGAATTGGTAGAAATTATTTTGTCATGTAGTAGAATATATGATCTTTTTCGTGGCAACACCTATCCATAGGGAAGTTTGCAAGAAATGGTCATAATTTTCACACGAAAACGAACGGTTGCACTTGTGTTTTTATATGCTCTCAAAACTTGGGTCATAATTTGAAAACTTGTTGTGTTAACGTAGCAAAAGTGTTTTTAAATTGAAAATCATTTATCCTTAGAGATCCACACAAGAAGGTAAGTCTTAATATAATGTATTTTTTGCTAATTGTTGAAATATCTAAAATATTGTTATTTTGGTTTTGTTACGAGGTTAAAAGAAACAGCAGAAGGGCGAATAGGAACTCTCTGAGTCTTAATAGGAACTTAAGTACAAGTAAATAGGGATGTTTATGACTTTACTTGAAACAGTAAAGTTTGAATAGGGACAGGGTTGTCGCTTTATAAATGTATACAATATTTGTACTAGCGATTCGGGTCGGCTTTGCTCGGATTTAATTGACTACAGAAAAAAGGCCTCATACAAACGTTTATTCCGTATTTTACACATTTGGGGGACTTATTTTGAAAAATGTTTCAAGCTTCAGTAGTTCCAGCTCTGCGTTTATAAGTCAGTCAGTCAGTAGTTCACCATTTATAATATTAGTATAGATAGATTTAAATTGTTTAAAAATTAGTTACTTACAGTAGGTCAAATAATACCTATAGGTTCCATTTCACCTACTATAAGCAACTATTTTCATTATACTTCGTTTCAGATAACTATGCCTCGCACATACAAACCGCGGGCTAGACAATATAAAAAATACGATGAAGAGACGATAAATATTGCACTTAGAGAATACAAAACATCAAATAGTTCGTTAGCAGATATTAGTGCAAAATATAATATTTCTAAATCTGTTTTACACAGACACAACACAAGATTCATGAAGAAGCAAGGTGGTCAGACAGTATTAACTGACGAGGAAGAGGCTTATATTATAGAAAATATAAATTATTGTTCTGAGTGGGGATATCCATTAGATACCTACGATTTGCGGATTTTGGTTAAAGGATACTTAGATAGGATAGGTGTGAATGTAAAAAAGTTTAAAGATAATCTACCAGGTCCTGACTATGTAAAAAGTTTCCTAAAAAGAAACCAAGACAAAATTTCACTAACAATAAGTCAGAACATTAAACAATCACGCGCGGGAATTTCACGCGAAGTAGTAGAAGAATATTTTACTCATCTTGAGAAATGTATAGCAGAAGTACCTTTATCTAACATTATAAATTATACGATTGTTAAGTTGATAAATTATTTTGTTTGTCAGAGGATTTGTTTGTTTCTGAAGAAATTTAATTGTTTAAGTTTTTACTTTTTATTTATTGACAATAAGTGTTGGTTAATTTTAAATAAATATATTCCTTTCTCTACTCTATACATTTTTATTTACCTATCCTCTTCCAAATATATATACTACTGACATAAAATTTATTATTTAGGTCTAAGTTGCAAAAACCTTCACCCAATCTCATTTTAAATCTTTGACAACCCTGTGCTTTTTCCCCTATTAACCCCATTGTCGTTCCAGTACACCCCGGTTCAAGTATGAATAGGAATTGCATATATTTCGTATAATATTTTAGTGTATAACAACATTTTTAGTGTTTATTTGGCATTTTCGGAAAATATACGCAGGCGGAGAAAATAAGAAGCAGCCATACATGTCAGATCTGTACAATAATATTGAAATTTTTTAGTGTGAAGTTCGATTTCGTGCCTATTCACCCCGTTTTACGGTATTTTACTTCGGATTATGATCAAAATTTTATAAAATATTCAGTACGTGCACATCACATCGCCTGCAACGCGACTAGCTCGAGTACGCCGATTTCGGCGTAGTATTTGTTGCCGCATTTTACAAGAGCGCCGGCGGTATCTAGTCTGAGCGCGCGAAGACCTATCATTTATCTAAGGCTGATTTCATAAGGAGTAACATAGGCTACTTTTATTTTAGAAAAAGAAGCTAGCGAAGTCGCGGGGAACAGCTAGTATTAAATAAGACGCATTTGAAGGCAGCAAGAATATGAGTATTCTGACGAAGGCGGATTGGGAGCCACTTAAGTTAGCTAGAAGTTAGAAGCTTAAAATTTTTAACTACGTCATTCTAAGGGATAGGGACACTATTAAATATAACGGATTGTAATTGACATTTTTTGAGTTTGTAAATCAATCTTGAACTCCCAAATAATTGTGGCTTGGCATTTTAAAGGGTTCAGTTCAGTTAACCCTTACGATCGACTCCAGTCGAAAATACAAGTCAGATCCTTGTTGATATACTCAACTGCTTTAGGAAGACCTTCAATGGTTGTTTGTAAAAATATTTGTAGATCATCTGCATCCCAGTGGTGTAGAAGTCGCGATATTTGCGATGTAATCGTATTAATAAAGATTGCGGAATAAAAGAGGAGATAAGACGCCACCTTGCGAAACGCAAGCTACGGTATCAAACCACGAAGAAAGTCTAAACAAGAGGAAATGTGTCGTTCGACAAGGCGTTCTAAGACTGGATATGAAAGGAAGAATCGAAATATACTTTTTATTGTCTTTTCTCTTATTTATAATTAATACAAAACATTAATTAAAAGTAAAATCATTAATTCTATAGAAAACAAGACGTAATAAAAAAATAGCCTGCTAAAAGTCCTAGACTTCTATCATGATGATATTGGATTTTAATAAAACTTTGTCATGTTATACATGAGACTAAGTATACAGTAATACATGAGACCGAGCTATACAATAAAGAACAATCCTAATGAAATCGGTTTTGCAATTTTCAAAATTTTGAAAACTCGCTCCACCTCAAATATATATATATTTATAAATCAAAATGTACAAAATACTTTATCCTCCCATAAATATTTTATTATCAGTCTCTAGTACAGATTTCGCTGTGTACTGAGGCAATTTTTAGGGGAGGCGTATGTTCAGCAGTGGACTCATGATGAGCTATTATGATGAATGAATGGATGTAGGATGATTTAAACCCAGAAACAAAATCTTTATTTCAACATCATGTTTTTTAATGACTAGATTTGTACAACTAGTATTAATAAAATAATATTTCATAATATAATTGAAATAAAACACCACAAGTTAATCGTAAATATAAAACATAAAATACATTTAATGAAAACATTTTAAGTTTCAAAAAATAATTTTCTAATAAATTAAAAAAATGCGTTAATGTATATTTCTG